GTAATAATATCTTCCATATCTCTGGTATTAATGTTGAGTCATTTCTATTGCATGTGTTGTGTTGGGTGTAGACTCAACGAACCAAGCAGGATTCAGTAATCAATCTCTCTCTCCACCTACGTAGATTACTTCTTAGAATTTTAACCCTCTCTCACCCTATTGTGTGGTTGTGTGCTAATGCATGCAGTGCAATTGCTGAGCTTTTTTCTAAATTACTTATCTTCTCGGGTCTTAGCAGTTGCACTGCATGCATTAGCACACAACCACACAATAGGGTGAGAGAGGGTTAAAATTCTAAGAAGTAATCTACGTAGGTGGAGAGAGAGATTGATTACTGAATCCTGCTTGGTTCGTTGAGTCTACACCCAACACAACACATGCAATAGAAATGACTCAACATTAATACCAGAGATATGGAAGATATTATTACCACCAGTCAGTCAAATCGGAGGAGGACAATAAATAATTTCAAAATTCTATTTCAATTCACGTACATCATAACATTCTGACAAGTTACTTATTATGACTATAAAAAACCCTCGTCTTATTTCCCATCTGATTGCATTTGATTGATAACACTCGTACTATTATTTCTGAATGTACATTATCCCATATTGATTTTTATTCAAATATCTAGTCAATTCCACACATGTATATAAATGAAGCAAGAAAGTTGTGTGAGTAGTGACTTGATATGATTATGAGTGGCAATAGTTTGTGCTCGAAACGTGGTCATCAGTTAATATCACTGTACTGTATAACGCCACACTGTGTGATTTATCAAAATAAAATCTTATCCATAATGGAGTTATACTGTACCACAGTGCCCAAGTTTTTTACTTATATCAATATCCAGATCACATGTTTTTAAAGTTAATTAATTTGAATTCCGCTTTTATCGATTGTTATTATTATTATTCCCTTAAGTTCGGAGAGGTGCGTAGAACTTTAAAGCCTATCTGCATTTTCTCTTGTTCCCTGCAGTCGTCTTCAGATATCTCCACGATTGCCCGTGGGCTCTAACACCCCACTCCTCATGTCACTCTCGGACGCATGCCCAACTCGTCGTTTCTCATTCAGGTTCCATTTGAGACTGTGTGATGTCACTTAATGGTTTCCTCAGCATGTGTCTGATTATTCTCCATTTTCTCTGGCATATTTATTGGACAATAGGTCCTTTGGTGGTTTTTTCATAGAGTTCCTTCCTAGGTCATGCTTTTTTGCCAGGGTTATTCGATATTCGGCGTAGAATGAAGGCATCTGTTGACGAATATCTGCGAAATGCACTTGTGATGTCGTAATTCTCTGAACCATAGAGTGAGACGAATATGACATTAGTTTTGAAAATCCGAACTTTGTTCTTTAGACTGAGTGCAGTAGATTCCCACATTGATTTCAGATTAGTGATTGTTTGTCATGGTTTTCCAATCTTCTCTGGCTTTAACATCTGTATCGGTGACGACTGTAGCTGAAACGCTGTTTTTGATATTGTTGTGTTCTCTGAGCTGGATGGCGAAACTTTCATTACCTCACCTACTGGACAACATCTTCAGCGCATACTTCGGTTTGTTGAAGTGAGCTTTTAGATTTCTCCACGAATTTATTAGTCATCTCTCCTGTTGGTGGTCCTGAAGGTCGTGATTGGTTGTTTTTGTGTTTTCGCACCCTTTAGGCTACTTGTGGTATTGGTATTGATTGTTTCCTTGACCTGAAATTTTACCCCTTCTGTATGAGATTTCCTTCTTATCGATTGGCAAATTTTGTCTATCACGATGTGTCTATTGATTGACGATTCACTGGAGTAGCAGGATTCTAAAAATTCTCTAGCATTCTTGGTGTTCCCTCCGTCTAATATTTGAACGTTGACTGTCCCATTTTAATCGATGTCCATGGTTGTCTGTATGAGAGACTGGATGTCCTGACTTTTGACGGCTAGTTTATGTTCATGGATACGAAGATGAAGAGGATGTCCACTTTGGCCAATGTAATGTTTTTCGAAATCGCTGCAACTTATTTTGCAGATGATGCTTGTTTTATCTTATTTCGCTGTTTAGTCTTTTGGTTGACGTAGAGCCATCTGAGTGAAGTGATTTTGTTGGTTTGTGTGCAGCGTCAATTCCTAAAGGTTTGAAGAGTGTTGTAGTGATTTCTGAGATGTCCTTTATATATGTTAGGGCGATTTTCTTTGCGTTTTCCTTGGGGGCTTTTAATTTGGAAGGTTGGCTTGGGGTTAGATGTCTTTTGATGAAGTTCCGTGAATATCCATTGATTCTTTTGTAAGACGTCCATGAGATATCTTTCTTCAATTTTCCTTAAGGTGGGAGTGCTGCAATGATTTCTGGCTGGCTTGATTAGTGTTTTTAAACAACTCCTTTTGTGTGTTATTGGATTGTTGCTGTTGTAATTGAGTATTTTATCTGCGTGGTTTAATTTCCTATAAGCTTGTGTTTCTAATTCTCCTGTGGTTGTTCATTTGATTAAGACGTCCGAAAATGGGATTTCCTTCTTGGATTCATCTTCTCTCGTGAATTTGATGTCGTCGAAGATGCTGTTTATTAAGTTGTGAGTTTTATCCAACTGGTTTTTCTTGATTATTACGAATGTTTCATCTACGTAACGTATCCAAATTTTTGGGTTTGATCTTTGGTAGGATTATATTTGCGAGCCTTTGCATCACTGGTTCTGCAATCAAACCTGATATTGGCAATCCCATATGTGTTCCTTTAACTTGTTCAAGGTCACCAGGAGAGATGACTAATAAACTCGTGTAAAAATCTAAAACAAGCTCACTTCAATTCAAATTGAAGTATGCGCTGAAGATGCCGCCTAGTAGGGCAATGAAGGCTTCACAAATAAACTACCATCCAGGTGAGAGAACACAAAAAAATCAAAATCATCCACCTGAGCTACAAATCTTCTCAATGATATCTGAAAAGCTGTTTCTTAGATCAGCGAAATAGGCGGCCTCCTACGAATTTCTTCCGTTAATTGATTATATGGTTGAGCGAAATTCTCAATCTCTGTTGACACGCTGGCTCCTAGTACAGACGCTAGTCAACGATGTCTATGAATGGTTATGAAGTAATTGCTATGGACGGTGATTATAACATTAGAGTCTAGCATGCACGTTTCGTCCCTAGCTGGTAGTCTTCACCTGCATTCGCGTATACATCCATTTGAAGAGTCCTAAATAAGACAATTTGAGAAATATGAATACTACAAAAAAGATAAACAGCCAAAAGTGTCACACTAAATGTAACTTTGACGATTGACAGATAACAAATGTAATTATACAACGAAGAGGTCAAATGGTGAACAGTAATCAAGTAATAGGAAGAAGATAAGATTAGCATGAATCCAAAGGTTGATAAATAACAGTGATAATAATAATAATAATAATAATAATAATAATGTAAAAAGGAATAAGAAGGGCATACTAAGATGTGAAAACATGAGATGATCACGTCCCTGATGACTTTATCATAGTTCAGAGTAGACAAAAAGAATCAATAAACTTTCTTTGTACACATCGGTTAGCTACATTTTTATCAATCCTTATAGCTTTAATTATAGCTAGGAGACGTGTTCGCGTACCTTCAGGCAGATTCTTTGGTACACAACACAAAATTGTAAATGACTCATTAATTTTGATGTGGTGTTCACCATCCACTTTTATGATTATTATTCCCTAGCATTCCGAGTGGAACATAGGACTGGCTTCAACAACACATCTCCACTTTGTTCTGTCTTCTGCTGTTGTCTTCAGCTGGGTCCATGATTGACTAAACTCTCTCATCTCTTCCTTGCCACACGATCTCCTCCATGTCACCCTCGCACCGACGACCCACTCGTCGCTTCCCATCGGGATTCCACTCGATAGCTTGGTGTGCGATGTCATTCGGTGGCCTCTTCAATGTATGTCCGATCCATCTCCATTTTCTCCTACACATTTGTTGAGCAATCGGCTCTTGGTTGGTTTGTTCCCATAGTTTCTTGTTGCTTGTTCTTTCTGGCCAGCCATTTGATCTTTAGTATGGAGCCAGTAAGTGAAGGTGGCAGCTGTTGATGAAAGTCTGCAACCTGTTGGCTATCTTTTTCAAGGTTCAAGGTTCTCACCCGTATAGAAGGACAGACCGACTTCAAATTTGTGCTGAAAATCCTAATCTTGTAGTTTATGCTGGTTGAGCTCTGAAGATTTCCAAACTGGTTTCAGGCTGGTGAAGGCGTATCTTACGTCTTCATCCATTCCAACTGCCTGTAGTTGAAACGATGCTTCCCAGATAAGTGAAGGAGGCAACCTCTGTTAAAGCTATCCCGTTGATGGTGACTGGTGCTGGTTGTTGCTTCACCATCCACTAGATGAGATAAAATAGCACTGTTTATTGATTTCATTATTTCAGCTTTATCTGTAATCAGCAAACATATCCATAAAAATTGATTGTATCAACCCAAGAGAAACATTAGAGTCAGGGATCGAATCAAGAAGTAAATCAATATGGAATACGTTTGCACAGTGTCATTACAACAACAAATCCAGACCTCAAGCAATCACTCATAAAAGCACCTCACTTCTCTGAGAAGTTTACCCCACTGTTTTCTGTTAGCAATCCTAAATGACAATTTTCAAAAGTGTTGGATTATAGGGAATCGATCTCAGATTGATGTCAGTTAGAGAACCATTAGGTACCAAAGATTATTTGACAGCTGTCTTTTCCCAGTTCTGGACTCTTCAGCAACACACACCCACGACCCTCGTCGGGAATGCCAATAGAATCCATCAGGTTGGGTATAAAGACAAATATTCGCCGATGATATTGCCTGGTGATCCGACTAAAGTCACGAATTGACAGGAGTTATAACTCATGAGCCATTTGGTTCCCTAGCCAAGTGACTGAATTGTTAACAAGCTTAGCCTCGTCATCTTAATCACGACATGTTTCCTCTATCAAATTTACTAATATCTACAATTATCTTGTTAATTTTTATTTTTTCATCAACAGATCATTGAAGGACCTGGATATTATATGGCACGATTTATCAGTGATCTTGGCGGTATATCTGGTCTATATGTCGGTGTAACATTTTACACTATTGCTGAAGTGATTGATTTAGTCACCCAGTACCTTTGCTTGTATATACCCTACTTTTATAGTGTAATGCATCTTCAAATGTTAAAAGAGAAAAATATGGCTAGGAAGATAAAACGACGTTTACAACTAGCAATGCAAGATAAAGCTATGCAGGAGAGTGGAATCTAACCCGGAATGGTGATGAAGATACTCCTTCCAACTACAGGCCACTAACTAGCCAACATTGGTGTCGATGGTTTTCAGCGCTAGTTAGCTTTCGTCTCAAAAGCTGAAGTATTTTGGAAGATTTCATGATCAGATTGGTGAATATTTCTTCTTGTTCTTTTTTCAACTACTTATATATTTTATAAGTGGTACATAAATAAAGCGGCGCATTTTGTTGAAGTGTAAAGCGAATTTATCTATTTGTTGAGTATTTTGATAGACTTAAACGGGAGCCAACCTTATAATAATGAATAGCGGATCAGATTGGCGGGTCATTATGTGAAAAACATAGACTGATATAAGTTAGAACCACTAGAAAACCAGGGAGTACTGGCCGGTTGTTTCGTCCTAGACGGGAGTACTTCATCAGTACCCACCCACCGGGGTTCGAATCTGTGACCCTTCAGTTATACAACGCAGACTCGTTGACAATTCAGCCACTGAGACACTATCCGGTGACTCATGAATTTTAAATTCCACCATTTCGCGATATATCTGCCATAGCCTTGAGTCAATGTCATTTGAAGTTTAACTGTTCTCTTAACTGACTTGATCGACCCCATCGAGCACCACTTCTCACTAGAAGTCCAAGTAACTCCCCGTATATATCCAGTCCTCAATGGACATCAGGTCACTTATCAAGTTTTTGCTTATAGGGATTTGATCGGTTTCAAGCTGGATCACAAACTGATTTCATGCAGAGGTCCAAAGGGATCAAACCAGTCAGTCAATCAGTAAAAGTTATGGAAGCCAAGTGAGAGACAAGGGTAGGAAAAAAGGTCTTTTGCATGCATAAACTAGAGTTATTCTTCCAAATTCTCACAGTTCCAGTTACATATAAAAGGTGTAATTGAAATGTCATGAGTTCGAACTTCATTGAGCGCGTAATACAGAATGGCCCCAAACTAGGTTGAGTACTCCCTGCTGGTTTACTAGTGGTCCTCTGGCTGACATCGGCTGATGATATCCCATTTAATAGCACAACACTCTGATGAGCATATTTTAGTGATGATGACAACACTATCTGTCAGGTTTCACTAACTTGCTCAGTGAGCGTTTCAAGGTCATTGGTACGTCGCACTCCATTGGTAGTTAGTGGTGCTTAAAGTTTAACTTTGGTCATACTGACATAAGTTCGGTAATTAAGCTTATCAATTCAGTTGTCAAATTAGAGCTTCAGAAATTATGGTTCACCTTATAAATGAACAATGTTGAAGCTTCAAGCAAAATGTCGATATTCGAAGGCATTTCTTCAAACTTTTTCATTTTGGCTTTCTCCAATTAGATAACTGGAGGAGGTTGTAGAAAAGTTATGGACGAAGCAGTAGTAGTTGTTTGATCTGATCAGAATATTTAGATTTTGTAACGCCAAGAAAATGGATATCATCTTAAGGAGCATGGGCGCTGTTCAATCGATTACCTAACCCCAGTGCGAATGAATTAAAAATTCTGGTAGAACTAACAGTAGTGTCTGATAAACACACAAAAACGAAAGGTATAACGTCGGTTGTGCGGCAATAGGGGTGCTCGCCGACTACACCTTTTTTTCTGGGGTTCAGTCTCCGGTCAACGCACATCTAAACCTCCACTAATCGGTTGTCAGTCCAATAAAGAAGGAATTCCGGGTGTTAGGCCAGCAATCCCACCACGTCGAAAAACCCTCCTGCTACTGAAACTTCAAAGATCAAGCTGTATGTCGTATGTTCCACGTGGAAGGCAAAGGAATAGAATAAAATAATAAATTGTTCTTCAGAAACTAATTGTCGCATGTAATTGCTTTATATCTTATCTAGGAGGTTGGTAGGATGTTTTATACTAACATGCCAGATTGCATAACAGTGCATCTAAGTATATATATATATATATATATATATATATATATATATATATATATATATATATATAGTGGCAGATGAATTCACGGATAGGTGGGAAAACATAGCTGCCGAAACGTCCAGTCCCCCCACCCCCTTAAGTATAGTGGCGATATTCAGACGACGCATTCACAGTACTAACAATTTTTGTATATATATGTATACAAAAATTGTAAATAATCATTATGAGGTCAGTGGCTAAGATTGACATTTAATTGAGATATTGTCACCATAGATTACGAATAGGAGATAATAAAAGCTGATTATTTTGCTGACAACATAGTAAATCACTCTTAACATTGTCTCTATCACAAAGAACACGGGCTGACCAAACATCGTATCGTTGAGTTCCTATACTTGGTAGTACGAGTATATAATTCTTTTGCGATGACTTCCGGTTATACCAGACGCGATACAGCAAGGAGAGAGCTGAGAATAGACGGGTTGTTGAGAATTAAAAAAATGGATTTGAACCATTTCTCACATGAGTTCAGGTGTCTGTCAACCAATGTAGTAACAAGCTAAGTTACACAGCAGTTTGCCCTACTGACAATCTTTAATACCCTTCTCAAAATAACATAGTCCTTTTTCAGTAGATTAGGAAAGACTAAATGGGAGCAGTAAAGTAAAATAGGCAAGATACACGAGTTAACAAATTGTGAGAGCAGAGGTTGAGTGATTCCAGATTGTGATAGCTCCTTAATGCAGCAGCTTAAATGGAACATTTTCTTGCCGATCGACAGATTACACGATGAGTAAGTAAGGTCAGAGGATAGAACTATGCCAAGCCATTTTGTGTTAGACTTAGTTTCTATTGCAGTCTCCACTAAGTTACAAGCATCATGTGTACTGACAATTCGTTGTAGATCACGTTTACCTCTAAAGGAGAAGTCAGTATTCTGACATTTAGAGTCATTTAACGTAAGACCATTTAGCTTGGACCACTGAATCATATCCGACAGAAGCTATTCAGTCTGCAACAATCGGTTAACACAAATCCACTTCAATGATGAGTCATAATAACCGGAAACAGGACTCTCTACTATGTACAACTGCTTAATAATCTGTTCATTTGATAATCATCGCACACTCACACACACTGATCAGTTTTATTTACTGGATGGCAAAGTTTCGAACACAGTTTATTATTGTTCATAATCCTATCATCACTTATAACTACATAACTTCGAAACTTGAGATTTTGGTTGGCCTTATTCCCCTTCATTTGTTGTGCAGGCAATAGGATCTTCCAGATGCCCGACACAGATACTGAATCATTTCTGTTATACGCATTTTCAGTTGATTCGATGAATAAAGCTTCCGTCATCAATCTATCCTTCCACTATGTTATATTAGATTTTAAAACTGTCATCCTATCCCACACATCCTATTGTATGGTTGGTTGTGTGTAATTGCATGTAGTGAGTGCTTTAGCTGAACTATTCTCTAGGTTTCTTATCTTATTCAGGTCAACTAATCAAGATTTTGCTAGGTCTTTCTGCTCTGCTAGTCTAACTGGCTCTGTTCTACTACTTTGAGCTCTGTATTTGACCTGATAATCACCGCAGGCAGGGTATTAGATAAACTAAATAATTTTGTTTAATGGGCTCCACAGAATCATTTGATGGGTACAATTTGTTTCTAAGTGATTTTATACGTTTGAATCCTAGTCACTTCGATTCCTGCATTGTTAAGAATTCTACGTAAGGTGGTTTCAGATGTTCCTTCTTTGTAAGGAAGTACTACTGATGATTTAGTTTCTTTATTGTTGGTGTTGTAGTCACTCTGCGTATGTTTGACATGCACGCTGTGACTATTATTATTATTATCACTATCATTATTAATTTTAGTTTTACATTTTCTTACATACTTCTTGATTAATTTATCAGGGTAATTATTAATTAATTTCCAAAGCTTCTCTTATGTGCCTCACTTCCTGTCTTAGATTTTCCTTGGTACCACTTAGTTTTTGTGCTCTGTTACTTAAACATTTCACCAGTCCTATTTCTGCTGACATAGAGTGGGATGATCCGAAATGCAAATATCTGTTTGAATGTGTGGGTTTTCTGTAGGAGATAACAAAATAGCTGATTAATTTGCTAACAACACAGTAATTAATAAGTTTCCCGCTTAACACTGTCTCTATCACATAGAACACTGGTTGGTCAAATATGGTATCTTTGAGTTCCTATACTTGGTAGTACGAACATATAATTCTTTTGTACTGACTTCTAGTCCCACCAGATGAGATACAAGGGGAGATTTGTAATTAGACGGGGTTTGGATTTAGACCACTTATCGCATGAGTTCAAATGTCTGCTGACTAATACAGTAACAAGCTGACTAAGTTTCACACCGCTTGCCCTACTGACAACCTTCAAAACCCTTCTCAAAATGACATAGTCCTTTTTCAGTAGACCAGGGATGACTGAGGTAAATCAGTAAAGTAAAATAGGTAAGATACACGAGTTGATAAATTTTGAGAGCAGAGGTAGAGTTATTCCAGATTGTTTTGGCTTCTTAATGTAGTAGCTTAAATGGAACGTTATCTTGGAGGTCGAGAAAACATGGGATGACCAAATGAGGTCAGAGGATATAATAATAACAAAGTATTTTTTGTTAGACCTAGTTTCTATTAGAGTCTCCACTACGCTACAAGCATCATGTGTACTGACCAGTCTTTAAAGATCACGTTTATGTCTTATGAAGAAGTTAATAGTCTGGCATTTTGAGTGATTTAAGGTAAGACCATTTAGCTGGGACCACTGAATCATATCCGACAAAAGCAATTAAGTTTGCAACAGTCAGATTGCAGCTTGACAGGAGGCGAGACAGACAGGTCATCAGCGTATTTGACGAAGCTAATTTCATTAGAAAGAGTTAAGTTATGTAAGAAGAAAGAAAAAAGAAAAGGAGAGAGCAGCATCCTGAGGAACACCAATTTCAGTAAGCAAGGCAGAGGAAGATTCGCCCTTATTCATAGTATACTGCATTTTATTTGAGAAATAAGAATGCAACCAGTTAACAACCCAGGAGTCAGTTTGAGTAAGGGAAAGCTCATTTAACAAAAGGCAACTAGCTACTGAGTCAAGAGCAGATGTATAGTCAAGGTAGATACAACGTACATATCTGGCCCCTTTTCCCAAGGAGGACTTAATGTTGTGATGTAATACAGCAGCAGCATCTAAAGTACTTCTGT